ACATCCTCTCCACTGCGTTGCGAGAGGCCCTTCCATTATTCCACGATCATGGACAGCAAGGCTGTCCCGAAGGGCCCATCCACAGTTATGGGCCCAGAAGATGACTTGGCTCCGAGAAGTATCCTCGTTCCTCCGAAGTTGAAGACCACAACCGATAAGCTACAGTGGCGCGAAGCCGTACGCGACTGGGCGCTCAACCTGCAGATATGCGCCAAAGGTGGCGATAATCGTGCCAAGGGAGCCGCCGCTTCCATCGGCCTGTCACTCTACCGCTCCCTAGAATTCAACAAGAAAGAACTTGTGAAGAAAGCTATAAGGACCGGAGAACTCGTCTTTTTCCCGCAGGACAGCAGCCAAACCGTCGATCAGAACTCAATTCTCGAGAAGATTCTCAACATCGTCGCAAAGGACTCCGCCGTCGACACCATCGAGAGAATGGTCAAGTTCAACAAGGAAATACACGTCTGTGTCCGTTCAAAAGAAGAGACGATCAGCGCGTACGTGGACCGCTTCAGTGGACCGGCGCAGGCATACCTCAACCTAGTCAACGCCAAACAAGATGGCGCCGACAGCCAGAACCTTGCCATTGTGCTACTAGTCAACGCCAGAGTATCCACACAGACATTTACCAACCTAGTGAGCTCACTCGTCAGCACCGCGAAACATCGTTCAGGAACACCGACTTCCGAAGTCACACTCACTGAGGGGAGGATCGCCACCGTTCTAAGACTACTTCAGCGCATGCAGCTCGCCGTCGACGACGACAAGACCCTGGACAAAAACCGAGTCGATGTCCAGGATAACATCGCTGAATGTGTGGATGCCCTCAAAGCCGCGACCATAGCCCGCAAGGGAGGGAACTCCGACGGCGGACTAACGTACTTCATCGGATTACAGGACCCCGTGACGGCCCTCGAGGAGGCGGGTCTAGAAGAGAAAGATCTCGACAACGCGCAGAAAGGTGAAGAGCAGCAGAAACCGACGACGGGCGCCATGATGGGCGCCCCAGGGTACAAGCCACCCTTCCGCAGTAACAAAAGGAAACGTGGACAGTGGCGCGCCCGCAAACAGCAAGAATATCAGACCGAGAGCGATTCCGACTCAAATGGTAAGGACCTGCGAGAGACGATCAAGAAATATCGTAAAAGCAACGAGCGTCCTAATAGGAATACCCAGCATTTTCAGTAAAGGATTCGTCATCTTCCCCCAATGATCCGAATCCTATCATCGATCCAGGTAATCCTACCTCTACAGGGGGAATCTATTCCGCTGCTTGACTCTGTGATATACTCGATATCCCGGTCATCCTAGATCCGCCGAGAGACCAATACAGACGTGGGTGGGGACATTAGTGTAGAAATCCCGAAGACGTCGTCTGTTCATGGACTCTGTACATGCAAGACCTTAACAACCAGACCACGGCTCTCACGTTTGACCTTCTCCAGGACGACTCGCCTATCACACTCGGCATGGATGTTTCACAACACTCCGTAATTAACTTCTCGTCAGAATACCCTACTATGACCATTACACGTCCAACTGACAAATCTCCCCGAGTACTTTCTATATACATAGATGGAGCATCCAAGTTCTAAACTCGCGGGAGGATATTAATCGTTCCGATCGCTCATGTGACATCTTCTCTGATGGCCACGAATGCAGTGTCCGCTACGTCACGACCCATGACTACAGCGAAACGAATGCACCGGTTCACACATGCGACCGCAGAAGAACTGATACAGATCTGCAAAACAGCGAACTGGCTCACCCCGGACCTCGAGAAGTCAATCCGAACCGTGTCCGCTGCCTGTCGAGTATGCACAGAGTCAGGTCTCCCAACTCCATCTAAAAAGGTTTCACTTACGCATGTGAACGAGGCATTCAACCAGCACGTACAAGTCGACTTCACCTTCTGCACCATCCGAGGCACTCAATACAACGTCCTCCATATGATATGCGCAGGAACTGTGTACTCCGAGACACAGATTATGTCCAATCGCGAGGCCGTCAACATCACGAGAGTACTCGAGACTGAATGGTTTAATCGCCATGGAGCTCCGAATTCTCTGTCTGCCGACGACGAGCTCAACTGTAACCATATCCTTACGTTCCTCAAAACTCGAGATGTCCAATTCGACCCCTGACCAGCCCGCAGACATGACAACACAGGGCGCTTAGAACGGAAACACCGGACTCTAAAGGCCATCCTCGAAAGGGTCGCAAAAGAGCCGACCTCTGAACCCGATCGCTTAATTCTATCGAGAGCCACGTTCTTCTCGAATTGTTTCTCAGGCACTCGCATCCTCAGCTCCTTCGAGTTGGCACGAGGATATGCACCGTCGATACTAGGGACATCGCCACGAAAGGTGAGCACAGAACTCCTGTCCGCCCACAACGAACAGGTAGCAGTCCGTGCCGTACAGCGACTACTCCACGCTCGCGCACCATCCCTCGTCCCTCCGAGCTCTATAAAACCCGGTGACATCGTGCTGTATTACTACAGCTCCTCCAAGAACAACGAACCGGATGAGTGGAGAGAAGCAAAGGTGATATCCACCAACCCGCACTTCGTCGAAGCCCGACGTGTTGGCACAACGAGAGGATCGGCGAGCAAAATCGCATACGAAGATCTTAGGCTACGACCCAATCAGCCGCTCACGCACGAACTGATGGACAGTACGATCGAAGAATACCTCCTGTCATCGCATGAGGGGGAGACACGACAAACACATCCGATGAGAAACGAAGATGTACCGGACGTAACACCCCACACTGGAGCAATGTTGACCACGTCGCACAAAGAGGATTCAGACCCGGCTTCACGAGATATCGGGCCGTATTCTACCTCCCAAGCTGACGTTAGAAATGATCTGACTAAGGTCCTGATATCCACCGAGCAATTCGAACTGAAGAAGGTACACGCAAGGATTGGCAACAAGCAAGTAACGTCGCGCGAAGTAGAATTCGTACCATCGTGGGTACTCCAGAACGCTATGGAAAGAGAACACAGTAACAACTGGCTCGGCGCATACGAAGAAATACCTGAGTCACATGTGCCACGTGGCGCCAACGTCATCTCCTCGCACACACTCTTTAAGGTCAAGAGTCACGAAGATGACAGACTCGAAATGAAAGCCCGATTCGTGCTACATGGAAACCGCGACAAGCAGAAGGATGAAATCCGAAAGGATTCAGCCGCCGCAGACATGACGGTCTTTCGTCTGGTGATTAGCCTGGGGTTAATCCTTGGACTCACATTCGGCGTGGCCGACATAAAAGGTGCATACATGCAGAGCGGGCCAGCTACCCGCGACATCTATGTCAGACCTCCAAAGGAGTGGAAGTCCACCAGAGGCATGCTATGGAAGTTGCTGAAATTGGCATATGGAATCGTCGAGGCCGGTAGGCAATGGTTGAAAACCGTCGAGACATGGATGATCGAAGAAGCAGGAGTTGAAAGGGTATTCGGAGTCAGTCAACTCTTTGTCAAAAGGGATCAAGCAAACAAGGTGACGCTGCTCATCGTAAAAGTCACAGACGACTTTCTCGTTTCTGGTACCCCCAAGGCCATCAAGCACTTCATGGACGAATTTAGCGTCAGATTTGAAGTCGGAAAGATAAGAGTCGGGCAAGATTTCCACTTCAACGGATGTGAAGTGACGTTCGATAACCACGGGAACGTCACTCTCTCGATGGAAAACTACACGCGCCGCTTGAAATCTATACATATATCTCGCTCAAGACGCCAAGAGCAAGAGGCGAAAGCAGACACCCGAGAAGAAGCCGAATACAGGTCGCTCGCCGGAACACTCATGTACCTCGGCACGGCAATCGTCCCCCAAGCCTCACTTGTCACGTCGCGTATGCAGCAACGTCTTGGGGACCTGCGTGTCAAGCACATCATCGACGCGAACACAACGCTCCGCGAAATCTTGAAACTCCAAATGAAAATCACGTGCCTCAAGCCGTCAAGTATATCCGGGGCGATCCTCATGAGCCTGTCAGACGCTTCACACGGCGGTAGTGAATTCGATTATGAAGAAACGGGAGGGATATGCGGACTTAAGATCGACCCCTGCATGGAACGAACCTCTGTTCCATCCAATTTCGTGGACGAGTCACAAGCAGAAAAGGTTGAGGTATTCTTCGTTCGGTGCCGAGATCCTCGCTTGCACAGACGCGGAGGACAGAGAATTTGACATGAAAGGCTCCTTCGCGTCACTGTTCCCAAACAAGCCAGTCAGACATGAGATCCTCGTCGACTCACGAGCTTTATTCGACACGATCACGACGTTGCACGAGTGCAAGGAATACAGGCTCCGAAAGACCGTGACCGGCATCCGAAATGCGTTCGAAGCGCAAGAGCTAGATTCAATAAGATGGATTCCCGGGACGAAGAATGTTGCCGACGCACTCACGAAGCGCAGCACAGAGCTTTGGCATCATCTTAGTGAAATGCTGTCTACCGGATTCTGGAAAATCAATAACGACACCGGCTACCATCAGGAGTCCAAAAAATGGAAGTAGACGACGAGGACGATCTCGGTCGTCTGGGGGGAGTGTGGATCGTATGAATTGCACTGTCGTCATGAATACAAGATACGCACTACACGTACCACTGTCGGGTGCTGATAGAAGGCGATGGCCTAATTGACTTACAGAACCTAACCCCGAAAGGGCGGCTAACATGACTACATATACTGTAGTCACGAGAGAATAAACCTCGAGGAGGAGAGGGGGATCCTCGACGGCATTGGTGCCGAATAACCGCGCTTCTATCGCTTAGCTAGGACATCCTCTCCACTGCGTTGCGAGAGGCCCTTCCATCATTCCACGATCATGGACAGCAAGGCTGTCCCGAAGGCCCCATCCACAACTGTACATGTACACTATTTACCGGATGCGTATCACCTCCTGCTCCAGGTTGGTCGGACACACCTTTGCACTCGCAACCTCCCGCATCTTCATATTACGGCTCGCTGAAGGCGAAGTAAAATTCGCTTTCTGCGAGACGGGCTCTGCTCAAGCTCGCAGTGTTTAGATCACTCCACGTTACACGATGGAGGAGGCCCATCTTTTGATTAATTTGGTCACACATGCTCTTAAATATGCCCTTGCAGTTTGCCAGCAGAAGTCCTGCGCCGAATGATATCTGTTGGCGCATCCGCGAGATGAACATCATTCGCAATAACAGCAGATCCTAGACATCTATCCTCATCATCATAAAACGCTGAAAACTGCCCTGGTGCCAGTCCTTTATCACCCTCGGCAAGCTCCACCTCGCCTCCCTCCGCCCATGTCCTCGTCACCACAGCGTTATGGAATTTCGGTCCATGTCTAGTCTTCACTCGCAATGCTGTCTGCGCCCCGTTGAAACCGAGAGCATTCGGCCATTCTCCAGCAATCCATAGAGGTGTTTCAAACTCAAACCAAGTACGCTGCTGCTTCTCACTGTGATACTCTTTGCTTACGTAGACCACATTGCGTTCCACGTCCTTGCATACAACGTACCATGGCCCTCCAGAGAGTCCTATTCCCCGTCGCTGACCAATAGTGAAAAACCAGAAGCCCTTGTGCTGTCCGAGTTCTCGTCCGGTTTCAAACTCGACTAGGCTCCCCATCTCTCGCCCCAAGTGATGGCCGAGAAAGTCGTCAAACTTCAGTTTCCCAAGGAAGCAGATCCCCTGCGAGTCCTTGCGAGTCTTATTGGGCAGATCATAGGCTTTCGCAAGCTCCCGTACTTCATTTTTAGGGATGTTGCCCAGTGGGAACGAAGAAGCTGCAATCTGCTCCTGGCGAAGATGTGCCAGAAAGTACGTCTGATCCTTCCACATATCTGCGGACAATCGCAGTTCCGCAAGACCAGTCTCTGGATTCACTGTTTGTCGAGCATAGTGACCGGTGGCAACTCTATCGTAATACCGTCCAATGCGGTTGAAAAACGCACCAAACTTAATTCTCGAATTGCACATTACGTCAGGGTTCGGCGTCCTCCCCCTTCGTGCCTCGCTGACTGTGTAGGACACGACCTCGTCCCAGTATGCCTTTTGAAACGGTACGTCGGTGAGCTTCACGTTAGCTTGTTGGCACACAGCTGCAGCATATTCCATGTCCTCCTCCCACGGACACGAGCCCAAATGGGCCAGTTCGTCTTCAAGCCAAATCTTCAAGTAAAAAGCATGAGGACGGGCCCCAGATTCCTGAATCTGGTGAAGCGCGACAGAGGAATCTACGCCACCAGATAATAACACCGCAACGTCTTTTCCTTGCCGCCCACTCCACCGTCCATCCATTGGATGTTTTTCCGACTTCTCAGCGTGGTCCCTCTTCTCACCGGACCGTAGCATCTCAACTTTGTTTTGCACATAGCTCAAGATACTAGTCAGACCCATCATCCGCGAGGGCCCCGCGGATCCCCGCAGCCCTGAGGCCTCCAGTAGTTCTAAAGGCATTACTGCTGCAACTTCGTCCGCAGTGCATCCGTCCAACCCAAGGATTACAAACGCCATCAAGCCGCGGGCGACCATAGAATCAGAAAAGCCACGCATCTTGACGGTGCGGTCGTCCGACATGACCACCTCTACATGCGAGATTGAAGTGCAGCCAGATACTCGCGTGGACGGATGCAATTCATTGTCTGACATAGCAGGGATACTGTCTGCTAAGTGTATCAAACGCATATAACGTGCCTGGGGCTCGTCCAGCGTTCCAAGCGAATTTGCGATTGTTCGCAAGTGTTGGGGGAGTTTGCATCGCCACCTTTCTGCAGTGGGTCTTCTGCTTTCGGTTTTCAAAAGGGGTTTTCGGGAGACCAATGCCTTCCCATGGCAATGGGATGACTTCGCTTTGGTTGCCAGCGGTATGGAAATTTGAAACGCCATCGTGTTCGCTTTCTGCACACAACGCAGACAACGGTCAGGGTTGGGAAATGTTGTCATTCCAATGAGACGCACATAAGTGTGTTCTCTTTGCCCCATGCTCACCTACCATCAACAGCTAGCGAGTTTTAACTGCAAGAACGTATGAATGAGCACGCAGACGGCCTTCGCGGCCGAGGAAAGGAGATCAAACTCGTCGCATACCGTACCCTTCTGTGTAGATGACGGGAATAACGCTTCATGGAATAATTTTCTAAAAAAAAGTCAAATCAACAGCATAGAATTTGTGGCTTTTGGATTAAGAGCTTTCAACCTTGGCACCAGATTGTGTGCATGCGCACAATGCAAAACTGTGCTTCGACTTGATGTGGAGGACACCCAAACAAACCACTTTCGGCGAGGGTCTCCGCCTCGACCTCTCAAATAGATGATTAGAGCCCCAGAGAGGTCAAGGAGCTGCTGCAGGGCAAGTACAGAACTGAAGAAAACAGAAACCACTCTAAACCTTAAGTATACACGTGTATGACGTGTATACGATTTTCATTTTATCGTGCAACTTTTTTAAGCAGATCATCGAACTAATGGACAGCTGTCCCGTAGAATTGCCTATCCGCATCGGACAATTTCTGATGTGGTAAACCGTGTGGCAGCTGCACCGTAACGGCAGATCTTCAAGCTCGTTGCATCACTCCGGAAAGTCATTTAATCCTGCTTGCCTGCGTTCAGCTTTGCCCCACTAACTCATCAACATGAGCAATACGCTGGAGAAGAAGCTTTCAGCTAGCAAGGTTATCAACAAGAAGGCGCGTTCTGGAGATGTATCTCCTCACGTATCTCGCGATGCTTTGAAAGCAGACGCAGCTGCGGCGGCTACGGGAGAGCGAAAGGACGACTCTACCCAGAACGAAACCAATTCTTCAGAGTTCGACGCCGAGTACGACGTACCCCACCCCACGAATGAAAAGATTCGCGACAAGATCCGCTCCTTGCTCACTGATGCTCTCTTCAAAAAAGATGAGGACTTCGTGAAAGACCGCAACGACGCCCAGATTGTCGCTAACGCCATTGAAGCCGCTTTGTATGACAAGATGGACGGCAACGGCGCCCCATATAAGAATAAATACCGCAACATCTCCTTCAACATAAAAGACCCCAAGAACGCTAAGCTCCGCATGGCCTTGCTTTATCGTCACCTTCCACCCTCCGAGTTGCTCAATATGTCGAACCACGACCTTGCCAATGATGAGCTACGAAAGAATCGGGAGGAAGTTCGTGCTAAGATGACCAGAGATGCGATGCCGTTTAGCAAGCAAGAGGCAAGTACTGATATGTTCAAGTGCGGAAAATGCAAGCAAAGAAAATGTACTTATTACCAGATGCAGACCCGGTCCGCAGATGAACCATTAACGACCTTTGTCTCATGCGTACATTGCGGTAATCGTTGGAGGTTTTGAGCTTTCACTTCTCGGTCCAAACAACCCATCCGCTACCCCTTCTTCCCCTCATACCCTCCATTCCACCGCTTCAGTACAAAAGTTGAGAGAGCTTCGGTGAAATTGAGACTACTTGTACGAGTAGATAGGACGGGTGACAAAACATGTATCCCTGTAAACTTTGGGTTTTCTCAAAAATCAGCGTGCTACGGAGCAGCTCTCAAAACTAGTGTACAACAACGAAAAAGCGACATGCACTAGCTGCTACTTTCTCTTGGTGGGCAGTACGGGTCCAGACGCCTCCTATGAACTGTTGCGTTCAGTAGATCTCCCAAAGGAGAAGACCGCATCGCGTCAATGGAAAACGCGGGTTTCTCATCCTCGCAACGGCTGTAGTGCTGTTCGCACAGTGAACGAATCACATTGACGCCGTTCCGATGGCATTCATTGGGACATTTGATCCAACAGGAACGTAAGAAAAGGCTTCTTTCTAGTTCAAATGCATGATATTCTTTCTCTGGAAACAGTGCTGCGCAGATTTCCCAGGAGAATCAGAATAGCTGTTCATCCCGCGCTCTTGTACGTTGCACAATAACATTGCTACGGTCGGTAGTTAGAACCTCTCCGATTGCTTGTGCGGTGACTTCACGTTCGTCAGAATCACATAATTAGTTGGCCCCCTGGCTACCGTTAAAACGAAACGGACCTCTCCATCAACGTATGCTCATAGAGAAATATGATGTGGTTCGAGAAAAAAGGGTCGCGAGGATGATCTCCCGACGCCCTTTTGCTCCACACAACCTCATGTTCCGTATCTCTAGGCAATATGTAGGATCTCCAGACTTCCAGTGTCTTAGGCAAAGAAACCAGTCTACTTCTATTGCCACTACAAAGAGGCTCCTTCTAGACCAACGTGATATATAGCCCACCAGAAGCAAAAAGAAGATATAGGGAATGATCATGAAAGGCTATCCATCAACCTCAGGAAGAACGGTTGCTTCCTCAAAGTCTTCACCAGGATCGGAATCCAAAAAGTCAAACAAGTTATCCTTTCCGTCTTCGAGGGCCCCTGAAGTTCGCATTTCGTCATTTGATAGGCTTGATAGATGCTCCGGTTCTCTTTTGTCAGTGGCACCCCATAGATCCGAACCTTCGTTGGTACTCAGAAAAGACGTCAAATCCACGTCTGAAGATTTAAGAGCATCTCCCCGCGAGTCCTCCTTTCCGAACTGGGAGGAATCTTGCCTCTTAGTCGTAATGTGTTGGTCTTGCTCCTCGTCTAGAAATGAAAAATGATCTCCTTCATCTCTAAAAATTGATGATATCTCAAACTCATTGGCACTGGCCTTCGAAGATCTTCTTTTTCCAGTTTCGCGCCTACCAACTTTCCCACTGTCCCCCTGAGTCTTTGGTTTCGAGGATTCATTCGACTCTAGCCCAAAAAAGCTAGACATGTCGTCCTCTGTTTCGAAATTATCATCAGAGAGGAGTGCAGCAAGATCGTCAGCCGGGGAAGCCAAATCGGCAGTATTCCCGGGGCCACCAAAGAGAGACACTGAGCGATTCGCGTTTTCCTTGTTCAATCGTGATTGAGGCGTAGATGGTGCATCTCCTGCCTGCCATGATCCAGTACGCTCTTTGCTCGAATCATCTGCTTCCGGTACGTCTTGAACAACACAAATCTGATCCATTTCGAACTCAACAGGTGCCTCACGGCCAATCATCATAAGACGAGCAGATATGACATGAAGATCCGGTTTGACTGCCAAAACGCGCCCCTTGTTCCCAGCGAAAGGACCTGATAGCACCTCAATGGCATCTCCCGGTCTAATTGACGTCTTCTTTTCTGGCTTCGCACTCCCAGCTTCTGCCACTTTCTCAAACACAATTTTCATCTCTGCATCACTGACTGGAAGCGGTGGCCTGAACGGCTGCCCGGTCTTCCTGTCACGGTTCGGATCACCCATGAACCATTGGACATTGGGCACGCGTTGCACATCTGCGTAATTTTGTTGATTCATGACCATCAACACCAGAATGTAACCAGGGAATATTCGCTCTTCCTTCTTGACTGATTGGCCACCCTTTGTAAGACGCATGATTTTTGTAACGGGAACCAGAACTTCTTTAACTTCCAATGCTTCCAAGGACTGCGCCATATTCCGAATAGAGATCGCACAGCTTTGTTCAAACCCAGGTTTAACCTGTAGAAAGAACCATCTTGGTTCAGTGCTCCATTCCAGGGAGTTCAACATCTCCATTTGAGTCATTTTTGTCTCTGTTTTCTTCTTTCTTGATTTTGGGCTTTTCTTCTTTTGAGTTGCGCCTTTCGTTGATTTCTTCGTACCCCTATTAGATTTCGTCTTTGCCTCATTTATAGCGGCGACAGCTTCATCTGATTCCACAGCAACCCTGTCAACTTCGTCCGGCGCTCCTGGTACTGCGGTTTCTTTAGCATCTTCCCATTCATCATCATCTCCCTCTTCTTCTTCGTCAGGACCGAGGCTCGCCCCATGACCCCGATTCCGTTCAGAAAAATCCAAGTGCATGCTAAACTGTTCAAGAGTTTCCTTGTTTCTTGAGAAAGCAGCCTCAAGGCCTGCATCAAATCCGCCGAAGTCTTCTAGAGACATAGCTCCCTCAACTTGCGACAAGTCCTCTGCTTCGCTGGAACGAACCTCAGATGAATTGTTTGGCGTTTTTGCCTCCGCGGGTTCATTCGAAATGCCCAGTGCTTCCTTTCCCTTTGCATCCTTGCCTTCCACATTCTGCGACAAACTTCCAGTGCCTTCCTTCGGAATGGCGCAGCTTATCCGCTGGGCTCTTTCATACTGCCGTCTATCCACGGAGTGCGCGCAAATTGGGCGAGTGCCAACTGTTGTAAAGGGGGTAGCCCAACTACCAATGAAGGCAGTCACGCCGCTTCTCCTTGTTGACATTCCGCTGGAGCAGTATCTAAATTCTTCGTTTTCCTTTTTTGCGTGGAGTCGCAAGGTAAGCAGAAAACTTCGAGGAGCTTCAGACTGGAAACTCGATAACCCAGAAGCCCTGAAGTACTCTTGTAATTGACAGAGGCACAGATTCGGATCTCAGGCGAAGGGGACAACTCCAGAGTTGTACGCGTCATTAAGATAAGATCCCGTCCGAATTTACACGTGTTGACATATTTCGACCTACAGTAGACTCCGCAACAAAGTAAGAAATTGCGTGTTTCTACAGAAAAGCAATCTCCATTTGAGCTCAAGTAAAACGTCTCAAAGCAGTCATCACATCCATTATATGGCCTTGCCCGTCCCGGCAAGAACATGATTGTGGCTGAACGTTTCGCAAGCGCGCAAGAAGCAGTCTGTGTGCCCAATTAGAGAGGGCAACTACGGGAACGCACTGAAAACCGAAGGAAGTGAACAGGAAATGTTTTTGTTCTTGCCATCCTTGAATGGCTTTCAGTTAACCAGAACGACCCGCCTTCTTCTTTCATGGAGACCTAGGTCAGAACAGTTCGCCAAATGGGATTCTGCAACTGCTCTCTACGACGCAAAGACTACACGACGCGCGGTGCTACAATCGATGGCGGCGATATCCATTTGCTTCAAGACGAGTCCCGCTCAGTCCCGGATAGAAGGTCCAGAACTTCGAGGACTCGACGAATCGACAGAGAACCAACCACCCTTTGTGGAACTCGGCGATGGAGTGAAGGCACAGGAAATTTCTGGCGGCAGAGGGGCATCCCGAGTTGAAGACGGAAGCATAGTAAGTGTCAAATACGTCATGAGGCGAAGCAACGGTTATTTTATTGATGCGAGCTACGGCTTCGATCGTTTTGAGACGTACAGCTATCGCGCCGGATCGGGCCAAGTTGTCAAAGGCTTTGACATCGCAGTGCGCGGTATGGGAATTGGAGGAAGACGACGATTTGTTCTTCCTCCACGTCTCGGCTACGTGACCGGAACAAGGAAGAATGACCCTGGTCCGATTCCTCCAGACTTCGGTGCAAGGAGATCGCTTGCCTCGCATGCAAAGGAGCCTCTGATATTTGAGGTGCAGGTTGTAAAGATTAGATAGCCCAGCGCCGCCCTAGGCTCCTTACCTACCGACCTCCGTTGCACAGCTCCTATGAAATCAACTGTTTTTGCGGTAATCGCGGAGCTTCGTCGCAGTTCCGGCTGACCCATGTTTTCCTGTTGACACATTTTATTTATGAGAATTCTTCTTACGTGCCCCTTTTATTTTGGCATTTTCCTTACTGTCGAAAGACAGGAGCACGCTCGAGGTGTGCAGTAGTATCATAGCAATACGAAAGCTCCTGATCAGATGATCTATTGTTGAATAACGTTGTCCGTAAAGTCACGAAAACGCGTGTTTTGGCGGCGAGTTTGCTCGGATTTTCTGAACGCAAAATTTTCAAACAACGCGTTTGTCAAAACTCACAGCATACCGAAAACTCGGGGCATGTGAATTTTCCACCAGTTTCACATCCCCCTGATCACAGCAGTGCCGGATCGACCCGTCGTGAAGAAAACCGAAGTGGGTCTTCCGTTCTTTTCATCAGCACAAACAAGCCCCAGACTGCAGGGGTCGTATCGATATGCGTCATGGATGCCCATATCGCTTCATCTGCGCAGAGTCCATTACCAGCGATGTGAACCGCGGAAAATGATGAGGTCTACAGAGTAAAGTCTCGATAAGCTGCGTACCTGATATGATGAACTGTCTCGGTACAGAGAACCGAAGGACTATGAGGGAGGCGCCACCCCCGCTTTTTGGCCCAGAATCGACGTTTTCGTATTTCTAAGGTGAACCAGGCTCTATAGAATGAACTACGCGATACCATGAACATAAAAAACATGAAAAACCCTGAGTTCACTTTATCGAGGCCGAAATGCGCACAAGAAACGAACCATCAACGACTACAGAAGCTATCCATACGTCTTTGCCTCAGATTCCAACGCTGAAGCCTCCTTACGCGGCTTTGTTCCTCATACAGAAGTGACTTGAGGCTCGACGGCAGCCCCGATTGAACTAGATTCGCGTCCGTCATAATACAACTGAGTTCGTTAGATAGAGCTTCTAATGCTCCGCGATACCGAGCAAGCGACGGTTTGCGTCCTGTCCGGTCTTTCGCTGGCACAGTAGAGCGATCGTCCTCACCATCTGAATCACCGTTAAATTGATCTTGCTCAATTGCCAGTAAATGCCCCAAAATCCCCTAATCCAAGATCAATGGCTTGACCGAGAACTGACTCTTCTGATATAGACTCTACCACAGGGAGACTACCTTCTGCAGCCATCAAGCGATCGACGCTCTCCATATAAATGTTTCCAACAACGCCATTCAAATGTAACTCTGTCAGTTCGCCCATTAGCATAGTCATATCCTCTTGCTCCACCGTTGAGCAAACATCAGGGCAGTTGTCTGGCATGCCAGCCTCACAGCAAGGTTTTGCTAAAACATACAATTCGCCTCGACAATGTGCCATTTCAGCTTCTTTTTCGCATTGCTCACGTGCGAGTCGGGAAGTAAATGGGAGTGGAGCTCTAATTGCCGCTTTGACGTATCCTTTTCGCTCGTTCTTGCGTGTGAGTATATTTTCTATTAAAAAAGGAGGAAGAATGTCGGTCTTAATCCAGGAGTTCAGTATGACACTCTCAGGAACAAGATCCCATGCTCTAGCCATCAACAAAACATCATCATACACAGTACAAGCCTTGAGAACATTAAACGTTTGTCGTGCAGACCGCTCTTTCAAGAGTTGCTCCTCAATCGAGTCCAATATATGTCGCACCACAAGCCGACGAAAATGACACTTGAATGAACGACCTACTGCGGCATCTACGGGCTGCAAGTGGGAGGTTAGGTTAGGAGGTAGAAAACAACAATTAAAATTGGCAAATCCACTGTAGCCTACGTTGTGGGCGGAGCAGTTGTTCGACGATGTCGATGAATGTTTGCCGTGAAACCGGGCAAACTTGTCAAACCCCTGTACGATAGAGAGTTTACGCAGCACAATTCTGAGACAAAATCTAGTTACAAATCTATGGGAAAATTAGTCCGCATTTGGCAGAGTATTGTTCACAACATTTAAGTACGAACCTGTAATTGTGATATAAATATGAGAACTAGTCGGGAGCCTCCGTTACTGTACGAGTACGAGAGCGACGGTGCTACGACCCCACACACTCAATGCATGACGTATTTCCCAGACAAACCCCTCGTGCTCAGTCCTCATCCCCAATTGCAACGCCAACATGAGGCAAACCGATTTACAATCGGCAAGACGGTTGCGCGATACCGATCGCAGCGCCGACGTGCCTTGATCCTACATGCGATGAAGGCCCCGTCATGGTATACCCTCCGAGGTCTCGCGAGAGCTCAACGAACCCGCAGAGATATCCATAAGATTCATATTCGGTCGATCGGTATATCTAACAACACTTTTAATATAAACGTCTATTCAGATGAGTGGGCTCTGCGCGATTTCCGATTTCAGGTCAAGGATATCGCCAAGATATCTGCAATCATGGGATGGGATACGGGGAAGACGCAACGCAATGGATTTCGGTGCGCCCCTTTGACAGCGTGCTGCATTGTGTTGCGTAAGCTTGCTTCCCCGTGTAGGTGGAAAGATGTCGAACATCTCTTCGGCATGCATGCATCCGTCCTAAGTGAAGTATTTTGGGAGGTGGTTGAGTGTTTCGTGCAGGCAAAGGGTTATCTAGTAACGGATCTACGGGAAGGTCTTCTAAACGCAAGGGCAGAGCTCTATGCGGACAGCGTGAAGATGACTGGCGCGCCTCTTGATGGTTGTGTTGGTTTTATAGACTGTACAAAAATAAAAATGACAAGACCAGGGGGACATGGCAGCCATCAAAGGAGTTGTTACTCAGGACACAAGAGGATGCATTGCCTTATCTATCAGACTATCACTACGCCAGATGGTCTGATATTTTCGTTGTATGGGCCGGAGGTCGGACGTCGCCATGATGTTACCCTACTAAGGGAAAGTGGAATTGAAGAAAGTCTTGACAATTGTCTCCTTATCAACGAGAGGCAGTTCTATTTGTATGGAGATGCTGCCTACATGCTGCGTCCATGGATGCAGGTGGCATTTCCCAGCGCAGGTGCTACAGTTGAAGAGGAATTATACAACACACGTATGAGTGCAGTTCATGTTTCGGTTGAGTGGAACTATAAGGATCTAAAACAACTGTGGTCGCTAAACGATTTCGCCCGCGCACTGAAAGTGCGACAGGCGCCCATTGGGCTCATTTACACGGCGTCAGCCTTGCTTCTTAACTTTAAGACATGTTTGGAAGCCGGCGGACAGGTGCAGGCACACTTTAATTGTCCCCCGCCCACGCTATCCGAGTATGTAAATGCAGAGTAAATTTCGCTGCGCGGGCAAGCGGCACTTCGCCTCTCACTGGCAAAGCACAGCTTGCCCGCGCCAGTTTACCGGGGGCGAGTACAACCCGTGCCGTACCGCCTCCAGTCACCAGTGAAGCAACCTTTGCCCGGCGCACAACAGCCAAGCCGCAAGTCGCAATGGCCTTGGGTTGTCGAGAGGCCCCCAGCAAGGAAAGCCAAAAACCGGCCGTTTGCACGCCTCCGCCGCCGGCACGCACCTTCCACGTCCTGCTCAGCCCGTGGCCGGCGTCGCGCGGGCACCGCCCCCCATGCCCACGCCCTCTCGGTACGCGCCGACCGCCGCAGCCGTCGCGGCCGCCACCGCGGCCGTCGTACTCGCTGCCGCAGCGACAGCCACCACGGCCGCCGTACTCGCTGCCGCAGGGGCCACACTCGTCGCCCGCGCGCTTCGCCCACCCCCGCCGTCATCGCCACCCCCAGACACGCCACACACGCTGTCTGCGCTCTTGGCGAGCGCGCGCTACCCCGTGCCCCGCCCTGGGACCCAGCGCAAGTCGGGCAAATCCGCGCCCGACCCGCCAGACCCTGCGCCCACATGGAAGCCGCGCAAGGCCACTTCCAAACCGCCAGACCCAACCCCCCCCACAGAAGCCTTGCAAGCCCACTTCCCAGCCGCCCAACCCTACGTCCCCACAGAAGCCGCGCAAGGCCACGTCCAAGCCGGCTGATAAGGCGCCCGAACCGTCACCGCTCACATCCGCACTCTCTGCGTCGCTGCCCTGCACGCGCCGCCCGTTGCTGGTGGGCTGGACGATGTACTGGGACATCGAGAACGTGCCGGTGCCGCACGGCGTCACGGGGGAGACGGGTGGTGCACGCGCTGCGCCGCTGCGTGTCGCAGCTGTCGCCGCAGTCGCTCGTGCTGCGCATCGTGTCCGTCGGCAATATCATCCACTTGCGGGGGACGCTCCGCAACCAGCTGCAGGCGAACTGCGTGTCCTTGATGCGCGTGGAAACGCGCGGAAGGAAGGACGCCGCGGACAAGGCCCTGATCGCAGAGCTGTGTCTGCTCGCCTGCGAGCAGGACACGCCGTTTGGTGTCGTGCTCATGACCGGCGATGCTGACTTTGCGTACGCGTTGGCCAGGATCAGGCTGCTTGGGTACACTACCGTTGTTGTCGCGAGCCAGAGGAGGGCGATGTGATCTGAATTGATCGAGTCCGTGGCGCACTTTGTCTGGGGGCTGATCGAGGATGTGCTCTATGTTTATGGCAGTGAGCCCGAGGCACTGGGGATTACGGGCGCTGGTGAAGTCGCCGTTTTAGGTAGGAGGGTAGACAAGCTGGCAGCACAAGTGCACGCGTTGAAGAAAGTGCGGATGAAGGATGACAGTTGGGAAGCTAAATCTATCGCGGGCGCGAATGGTGTGAAAAACGCTGGTAACAAAAGCCAGCCTATGAAAGGGGAAACAAAGCAACCTCTGTTGCCAGAGGCCCGACAGCGAATTACGCAAGCTTCTTGGCAAGGGCTGCCAATACATCAATCATCTTCGCCCTCTCCACCATCGCTTGCTTTCGCTCCTCGATTTCCACAGCCGCCTTTTTCTCGTCAAGGGATAGTTTCCTACGCTTCGAAATCTGCGTTGCGTCAAAGCGCCTATCTTCATCTTCTACACGCTTTTTTTCCAGCTCGTAGCGTTGTTCATCAAGCTTTAGCCGCCGATTTTCTTGCTGTTGACGAACAGCCATATCACGGACCAATGCTTCAGACGCCTCATCATCGGATTCATAATGAATTCGACGTCTGGTCTTTGATCCCGTCGTAGACGGGCTTGTGGCACGGGAGACACCGTCGTCATCTATATCCACCCCCTCAATCCTGCTACGCTGTCCCTGCCCGCGACTGAGAGCCCTGCTCCGAAGCTCAACTCCTGCAGCGGTCAGCCTCTTTTCCTTCTCCAGTCGATCCTCTTTATCCGCGTTCTCTTGCTCCATGTGTTCATCGATCTCTAGTATGAGATCGTCCAAAACGGTCTCCCGTTCCCCATAAACTTCCACGATCCCCGATGCTCCCGCCGTGCGCTTCACCTCTTTCCGCCGCTTGACTACAACTGCCTTGAACCTTTCCTCAAGGCTCTTCTGGGATGGGGGCTCCTTCCCACCAACAACAGACCTTGGGGCCGTTTGTAGAAAGGTTGCATGAGCCTCTTCAAAGAGGGCACCTTTACGGCCCCAAGGAGCAGTATGCGCTCCCGCGCAAGAAACAGCCTTCAAGAGGTGCACGTCTGCCGCTTCGGTGAATCTAAAACGCCGAGCGCGTGGTTGTACTTGGGAGGGTTGCAGAGGCTTTGATGGTGGACTGAGGCAGGTCCCAGAAGGGTTTGGCAGGATGGGAGGGGCAGCGGAAGGGGTGTTTGAGTCCCCATTTGATGCGGGGGAGGGGGAAGGGATACCGGCTGTCGTTGAGGGAGGAGCAGGCACTAGAGGCTGGGGTGACGGAAGCAGTGATGCCATGGTCTAGTGGGTTTTTTGTCAGGGTTGAGGGTTGGGGAGGGATGTGGGGGTGTGTGGGGGGCCGTAAGTGAATGTGGGAAGGTAGTGAAGGTGCGGGAGGAGGAAGGCGGAATTCTATATGTCAGCGCCGACAGTCGTTCACATCGCGCCAAATACAGAATACAAATTGGCTCTTGTGGGGGGTGCCCCAGTCCTACTTATTTTTAATTTCGTTAAGGAGGCGAAAGAACGAAAATCTGAAACTGCATCCGGGGGCAAATCCCGTTTCTTTGAGACACCTGTCTTGAATCCTGGTTTTTTAACGAGAATTTTCGTAGAATTGCTGCTTCGTAAACTCTCTAATGCCGCGATTTCATTAAATCATGTTTTTGCGCGCAATTGCGCGCAAAAACTGCCAGATAATGCTGCAAAATGAAAAAATCACCACTTCGGCCTTCTTTAGGCGACCCACCGATAATCGCGATCAACCATCCAAATCGAGATCCCCCATGCCTTCCTAGGGTCCCTGTAGCCCATCTCCATCATGGAGATGTAACGTGTA